GGGCGGGGGTGGGGGGGGGGAGGTTAATAGGCGCAATTAAATATTAACGCCGTGCTAATAAAAATTAAATTTTCAAACGCTTGAGGAGCCGTAAATAGGAAATATTGCTGCGGGATTTTTTTTTTTTTTCGGAGGGGGGAAAAAAAAATTAATACGGAAGAGGAGGGAAGAAATACAGCCCAAAAGTTAGCATCGTCCTCTCGGTGACTTGCTAATCACATCTTTGCACTGACCACTACGCCTCCGAACATGTGTCACTTGGTGGAGCAAGAGCAAGCGCTGCTCACCTCTCGGAGCTCCACGGGTCCTATTGTGTTTAAAACTAGCCCTTATTTGCACACCTTCTTCTTCTATATAAAAGGTTATTGCACTTTTGCCGGGGGGGAATAATCTGTCCTGCCTTTTTACCTGGAGAGCGGCCGCTAACATGTGAACTCCCAGCTACTGAAGGGCGAAGTCGTAGCCTGGCACGGTGCGTGCCACTCAAGCCCCAGTGTGGTTGTCGACCAAAACAAATACTTTATATTAGTTCATATATAACTCTTCATGGGCAGAAGCGTGTGTATTTAATAGCCTGTCTCCAGTCTTTGGACGTGATGTAAAGACATATCGGCGTAAAACTTAAATCCAGTCATCAGTTTCACTTGCCTCAAATCTGCAACCCAAGTGTCAAGGAAGAATAATTTAAGTCTCCGTATTGGGGATGGCAAGAGGCGTTGCAGGGAAGGAGGGGACGTGTTACTGGTGGGACATGACTTCAGGGGATGGTGGTGTGTGTGTGTATATTTAAATACATGCGCACCATATATGTATACACACGTACGCATACACATTCATCCGTGCGTGGATTCGCCTGTTATTTTTTTTTCCCTTTTTCCCTCTTCCCTACAGAGTCAAGATGGCTAAAGGCGATCCGAAGAAGCCCAAGGGCAAGATGTCTGCCTATGCCTTCTTTGTGCAGACGTGCCGTGAGGAACATAAGAAAAAGAACCCAGAGGTTCCAGTCAACTTTGCAGAGTTTTCCAAGAAGTGCTCGGAGAGGTGGAAGGTACCTTAATTTGTGACTTCCCGAAGGGATAACTTCCTATGGCATCTGCTACGATGACGTGCCTGTGTCTGAACGCGAAGGGAGCCGGTGCTGTTTTCGTCTGTGGGCCGTTCCTGGCAGGGCGTCCCGGCCAGTGATTGGGTGCTGCTGACTCCCGTAATGATCGTGAAGGCTTCAGCCCGGTGTATCTGCCCGTTTAGGTGCTTCCCCTGCAGCCTGGCCTTTTTTCCTGTTCCCGAGCAGCGCCCTTCAGCAGTTCCCTCCCTCCGGGCCTGTGTCCTCGAGGAGGACTCTGGCTGCGCTTGTCCCATTCCCACTGCCTCCCTCTCACCAAGTATGGCAGCTGTGGCTGCGGTCCCCGGTACAGGACCTTCGTCCCCAAGGTGGTCCAGTTAGAAAACAAACAAATTCTGAAACTCCCCTATCGAGTTGGTATGTGTTGGCTTGTTTACTTAAAGTTTGCCAGCTATTGAACAGTTGGGTAATCGCAGGTTCGGTGTCTTGTTTTTTGGTTTTTTAGACCATGTCAAGCAAGGAGAAGGCTAAATTTGATGAAATGGCAAAGGCTGATAAGGTACGATATGATAGAGAAATGAAGGACTATGGACCAGCTAAGGGTGGCAAGAAGAAGAAGGACCCCAACGCCCCAAAACGACCACCGTAAGTAACTTTGAGGCCTTAAATGCACAAGTATTTTGGTTTGTTTTCATGCCCTGTAACACAGCTGATAGGTTTCCCTAAAGGAAGTAGATGGGGTATATTGTTGGTATAGCAGTATTGGTAATATTCATAGCTTACTGATACTGTCTTGTAAATCTTCTAGGCAGCTTGTAATCTTGAGCATGTAGAGCACTAACAGGAATTGTCAGTACTTGGTACCCTTAAGCTCGTAGTGATGGAAGACATGGAAATGACCAGGTCACGGTGAGACTCGTGTATCTAAGATGAAATTGGGTGGGGGAGGATAGACAACACCTGATTAAAAACAGCATTGGGTGAAGGCTGCAGGTCTGGGCCTCAGTAAAATCAAAACGTGTTTGGTTTTGTGGCTTGGTTTTTTTTCTGTTTGGTTTTGTTTTTCTGGGTGGCTTTTTTAAGTTAAAAGTATTTCTAGTTAGCGCGTGAGCGCATGTGTGAATGTTGTGGGTGAGGGACGGAGGAAGGGGGTGCTCCCTCGGCGTGCTGCTGCGGTGCTGACTGTCCTCTGGTGCTTCTCCCCAAGGTCTGGCTTCTTCCTCTTCTGTTCAGAGTTCCGCCCCAAGATCAAGTCCACAAACCCTGGCATATCCATCGGGGATGTAGCAAAGAAACTGGGCGAAATGTGGAACAACCTCAGTGATGGCGAAAAGCAGCCTTATAATAATAAGGCAGCTAAACTGAAGGAGAAGTACGAGAAGGTAAGGCTAGTTTTCACTTGTGCCTCTTCCATACCGGCTCTTGTGTTGATGTGTTTCTGGAAGATAGACCCAGCTAAGGTGGCCCCAGCGTAGTGAGCATCTCCAGCTGACAGACCTGTTCTCGTCGCGCTGCGTGCTGTCTCGCTGAACTTTGCGTCCGTCGGGACAGAGTAGGTTAGAGAGCCGCAGGTGGATTCCGGTGAGGAGGGAGAGCTTTCCCCCAGCGATGCGCAGCCGCGGCTGCTCGTGTTGCTCCGGCAAAGGGTTGGCTGTGCTGTTAAAGGAGCTTTGTCCCGTTAGCAGGAAACTTTTAAGAGAGGCTGGGTTCTCTTCTCCTCCTCAAAGAAATAACCATGAATGCAGGGTTCGAGGCCTCCGTCGTCTGGAGGCAGTCGAGTACGCTTAGGTGTCTGCGTAGCTGTGTGCTGTGACGCTGGCCGTCGCCCCTTTTGGGGTGCAGCTGTGGAAGACCGGTCCCTTTACGTTAACGCCCGCTGCTGTACAAATGCTGTATGTGTTTGCTGCTTAGAGCAAATTAAGACATCCCCTTGACTTTGCAGGATGTTGCAGACTACAAGTCTAAAGGAAAGTTTGATGGCGCAAAGGGAGCAGCAACCAAAGCTGCTCGGAAAAAGGTAGAGGAAGAAGACGAAGAGGAGGAGGAGGATGAAGAAGAGGAGGATGAAGATGATGATGATGAATAAAACTGTACAATACTTGTCTCCATGTGAATACCATAGAGTAGGGGAAACACCATAAATGAAGCACCTCTTATTTGAGATGGTGTCTCTTGCCCTTATTAGGCTTAATTAAAAAAAAATTTGGATTCCGATCGCGTTGTAGTTTCTAAAAGTGCTCTAGAAATTGTAACTGGTTTACATGAAGTGGCCATGGGTGTAGTGAGCACCCTGAAACTGTATCAAAGTTGTACATATTTCCAAACATTTTTAAAATGAAAAGGCGCTCTAGTGTTCTCCTAACTCTGTGCACTTTGCTGTTGGTGTAACAAAGCATTTAAAAATGTTTCAAGCATTTTTTTAATTTGTAAGGTGGTGTTACTATATGGTTATTGGCTAGAAAATCCTGGGTTATAAACTGTACATATCTATAGTTTGTAAAAACTAGACAGATTCTTGTGGTACATGCTTAGAGTTATGATGCCTTAGAGGAGCAGTGATTACTTGGAAAGGCTGTACGTTCCCCGGGGTGCCATGGCCCAAAGCATGCACTGTGAGGGTAGATCTATTTACACTACAGTGGGCGTCCATTTAGCTTAAAGTTGTCTTTCTGTATATAGTGAAATAGCATTCTGCTGCCATTCTTAGTTGTGGAAGGGGGTTCAGCTGGCATGAGAAGTGTATGGATTTTTTTAGTTAAGTGCGGTAGTTTTTAAACTGAAAACTGTAGACATCTCTTCATCGTCAACTAAGTGAAGAGCCAGTGCAGCAACTGAAGTTCAAAAACACTCTGTACTTAAACGAATTTGCAACGTTCTGTTTTTTTTGTATGTTTAGAATGCTGAAATGTTTTTGAAGCAAAATAAACAGTATTACATTTTTAAAACTGTTCTTGACAACACTCTAAATTTCTGGTTTAAAAGGATCTTAACAACAGCAAGAGGTTCATTTTGAAGTCTGTGGCATCCCTCAGGGCTGGTGACTTAGGAAACATTCTGACTCAAGGATTTAAAAAAAAAATATATAAAAAAAAAAAAAATAAATGGTGGCCAGCCAAAACTGGCTGAATTGAAAGAGATGGCTGCTCCAGCTAATATGCAATCGTAACTGTTTATGGCTGAGTGGCATAAGATGCTATGCAAGTTTGAACTTTATTACTTGAACTTGGGAGCCTAAATGAACATTCATGACGTAATTGTTTGTTTGTGTGTGTATATAGCAGCATTCAGAGATGCAGAGAAAGGTAGGTGGCTAGGAATGAGGCTGACACCATGGAATAAGTATAAAAGCATAGTTTGGATTTTTTTTCAGTTGTGTTGGGTAAATTTATAGCCCAAATGCATTGCTGTACATATTAAAATGTGCCTTTTTTGTCCTGTGTTAAACTGTTTCAGACTTGTGGTTTTTTCTAGCATCTTGGTTCATGGCAGGAGCCGGGCGCCTAGTCTAACTCCCTGCTGAAGTAGGAGCGTGGCGCAGGTACTTAGTCTGTGTCCTTTCTCTAATGACGCAAGTTTTAATAGGAATTGGGTGCTGCGAGGTGGGTTGGGGGAGCAACGCAGGTCTCTTTCCCCTTTGGTGACCAGCTGGCCGCGTCGCAGTCTTGCCGTCTTTCCAAATCCAAGCTGGGGATGTTTTGCAGCCTTTGGAAGGGAATGGTAATACCTGGTCTCTAGCTGGCGACGCTAACCTCATTTTTCCTTAGCACGGAAACTGCATGAACTGGGAAAACTATAGCAGCCCCTCTCTACCCTTGAATTCCTTCCTTGTGCTGGCTGTAGTTAGCAGTCAGTGTTTGCCTGGCAGCGAGGAGGAGATGGGGGTGTGAGGATACTTGCATTAATAGCAGGTCAAAGTTGTGGGCTGCTGCGTGCAGCTGACTTAAGAGGACCGGGTAACTCATTAGTGTAAACTGTGGGTACGGGCTGCTGCCGCCGCTGCATTTGAGCCAGACTGCAGATTAATGAGGGCCAGGCTTACAGGCAGTAACTACTTCTGATGTGGATAAAACTGCTTCGTTGCCTAATTGGGTAGCACATCTGGCTTCCTGTGACTTCTCAACAACCGTAGTATCTTGGCAGAACAGTCTGATCTAGTGTGGAGATGGACTAGAACCTGAAAGCAGAACCAAGTGTCAGATGAAGCAAGCTAATAAAACTTCTGTGAAACGTAGTAACACGTAGCAACTTTTTTTAAGGTGAAGGTACAGTTGGACCACTTAGATGTACTTCTATAATTGCTTAATTATGGCAGTCCTGAGTGACTTTAATGTGCAAAAAACCAAGTGTGAAATTGGCCCCCATTTTATGGGAAGCTGCATTTTAAAAGCCTCAATAAAGCTGCATCTGGAAAAGAAATAGGTACCTTTTGTATTTGCTACCCTTTCCGCACGTCTTCTGATGCGAGGGAGAAGACGACTGGAGATTCCAGCACGTGGAAATTTGATGGGGAAGTGGTGGAGCAGAAGAGAAAAGTGATGGCATCGTTTCAGGAGCTGTAATACTGTTTCTATTGTCTAGTTGGCAAAATCTCCCCTTAGCCACATATGGGAATTAGTGTAGATCACTGCTGTGCAAATCGAGCTTGGCTTTGAATTAACTGCTAGTGAGCTGAGCCCCTATTGATAGTATTAGCAAATAAGAACTAGAGCTGACACCTCTTTGTCTTTGTTGTATTGGAAATCTATCGAGTTGCAGGGCTTGATTAAGGTCTTGGATCTTATGGTGCACTGCCTATTCCTGCTCTGCAAATTTCTAAAATATGGCATGCCTTGGGGATGCTGCTCAATACAATGCTAGTGCAGGACTCTGGGGACTCAAATTTGGATATTGCAGATGTAGTGAGGATGTTTCTTCCCCCAGTACTCTGCCATTGATAATATCGTAGTGCGAATGTAATATAAATAACACATGATTTCCGCCCCCACCACTGGTGTTTGTGTTCTGAGATGTCATCTCAAATATTGGGAACTGCTTAATTTTACCCAGCTCCATTTTTTTGACAGAACACCCTCCGCATGCTCTTTCTGTCTGCTTGGAAATGCTTGTGGTGGTTCAGAGCAGACGTTTCTGCTTTGAGCTGCTGTACAGCTAAAACTTCTAGTTTGACTTTAGTCCCAAGCCAAGCAGAGTAAATATGACTCTTATTAACTCTGTTATATGTAGAGAAGGGTAATGATAGGATAGATGTGGGGAAAGGGGGGGGGGGGTGAAGAGAGACTCTCCTTGCCTGAATTTGACAGAGCTGACTGCGAGACTGCTTGCCTTCCCAAAATGCAAAATGTAATCTGTTGCATCGCCCGAGGGGCTCAGCTAAGAAAAAGGGACGGTGCGGTACTGGAGCTGTTAAAGCCTGCTCCCTGCTCTGGGGAGGCAGAGGATGGCTCGACTGGATGGGGTGACCCCTCCGGATGCCTAAAACAGTGGCAGAGGTGTGAGAGCTTTTGCTCGAGGGAAGGTATCTGCCGGTGCTGATGTGGGGCAGCTGCTGGCCGTGGGGTAGAGACAGGCAGGGTGCTGCCCACCAGCACTGACCCACGTCCCGCAGGTCATGTCCCGCGGTTGGTACCATTTGATTTGCACTCGGGACAGTACGTCGTCTTGAGAACACAGTTGCTACCAAAATGCACCGCATCCTTCTGAAATCAAACCAACCCGGGGGGGGTGATGGGATGGATGAACAGGGCTGCCAAGCTGCTCTGTGCAAGCCAGAGCCTGCCTCTGCCAAACCCGAGCCCGGCAGTGTATTAGCAGGAGCCGGGGAGGCAGAGGAGCGATGCTTTCCCACTGCTCTGTAGCCTATATGTTTCTAAATTCAGTTGAAACGTGATAAATATTTGGTGTGAGCCCTTAGACTAGAGGGGGGGCTCCGGGGAAGGGACTGCGTGGGGGAAGCCCCACGGTGGGTGTGGGGTTAGCTCCCCACAAGCAGTCCCAGGGAAAACCGTGCTGCAGGATGGTTTCCTACCGTTCATGTCAGCATCCTAATGCATCTGTGGGGAAGCAGTGCATTAATTTTTCTGTAATAAAATTAATTAAAAATCCTAGTCCAAATGCATATTGAATCAATTAGCAGCGAACGGCTGCAGCTCTAACAGAGGAAGGTGAAAGTCTGCTTTGGGGATCGTACTGGGGATACAGGCAGAGTCGAAACATCTCTCTTATCTGCTCCCTTTGAAGGGCTGATTTTTCTATAGTTTTATTCACTTCTAATAAACCCTGCAGGAACAGCAGTGAGGTGCGAGGGCTTCTGTTGGCTCTGGCTCAGGCGGTGGCAGGTGAATGGCTTTTTGCTTCCAGCCTCCAGCACAATTCTGGCAGCCGCCTTGAGTTTATGTTTTCCCTCTGCTCGCTCAGGCTGTTGTTCCACGGGCAGAGAAACGTCCTCCCAGTCAGTCCTCTTTTGCTGAGGGCTTTGGGAAGCAGGGCTTGGACCAGGAGAAGTGGCTGGGATGGAACCTCCCCATTGGCTTTACTGGGGCGAGAGCAGGATGCTGCATTTACGGCCACGCTGCCGTTTGCTTTCTGACAAGCCCCACACCCCCCTCTATCAATGTTAGCCCGAGCTCGCTCTCTAAAAGATAACGGGAGGAACTGTGACAAGTGACATACTTATTTCTTTCTGCTAGGGCTGCACCACGCTTTAATGCAATAAACTGAATTACAAAAGTGCAGCTCCACTGCAAAACAAAGTGTGCTGGAGAACCCGTTACCAAACTGATTGCTCTCTAAACAGGTTTCAGCTTGCAGTGGAGTTGGGACCGAATAACCAGCGTGCCTGATGGGGGGCTTCGTGCCCTGCGAGGTGTCTTTACCCCCGTTTGGCAGGCTGGGCTCCGGTGGGAGCGCGGTGTGTGCCCGCCCCTGCCTGGGCAGCGCTTGGCGACCTGTGTTCAAAGCGCTCTGCAAACATCTCATCCTTCTGATAGGTCTGATAATTACGTGCTAAAGCGGGCTGTGGATGAGGGGTGGCTCCTCGCCTGTGCTAACGGTCTTGGTTGGAGTTGCCTGCTGCTAAGACCTCTTCCCTGAGCACCCTCCTGCACCTGGATCCCTAAATTAGGCAGGAGGAAGAGGCCACAGCCCTGCCTGAGCTGACAGCTATGTCTCCCAGGTGGTGAGTGCCTCCTTTTCTTCTTCCTGGACGTGACACAGCCTCCCAGAAACGCTTATGAAGTAGCTAAATCAGGGTTAGTCTTTCTGTTAAGCCGGAGCAGAGATGGCAAGCGACCTCCCTGGGACTGGGGAGCCTGGGCGTTGCGTGGAGCAGCAGACTGCCGCTGTGGTGGGGTTAAGACCTTTGGAGGCTGGGATGTATAAAAGCAAATTTTTATCTTGTTGATGTTGAGAGGTGAAAATGCATTAACCATGGTAAGGGGATGCCTGTCCTGTAACTGTGTCCCCTGATGCATCTGACTTCATGTCCCTGGCTGAATCCAGCAGCCAGGAAAATCACAGCTGGGAACCAAGCCTTACTGTGGGACTGGGTGTTTTGATGGTGTTTGCAGCTGACTTTTGAGCCCCTGAAGTGCAGAGTACCGCTGCTCTGCCCCTGTACCTGCCAGCTCATCTTGCTTCTGACTGGGAGCTCCCTGCCAAGATGCCCAAGGCGCAGGAGCAGCCCCTCTGCACGGGTGTCACACGCCTGTGCGTGCTGCTGTAGCCGAGCCTGTGTAAGGAGAGAGGCAGGTAGGATGCTACAAGTGATAACGGTTGCTTATTCTTCCCAGCCGCTCTCCTCATAAAGCTCCCTCTGGTATTTCAAGTCAGAAAAATGCTCTTTGTAAAATATTAATCAAACATGGCCTGGCTTTGTTGTTGTAAGAACTTATTACTTGTAAGTGTTTTTAACTGCTTCTTTGGAGCTCAAGGTTTGCTTTATGTTAGTTTAGAAAATTAATGCATGTAGAAGAGCGAAGTGGTTTGAGGGATTGCTTGAGACAAATGCCTCTTGCCCGCTGCTAATTACTGTGTGATTGCTCTTCTACCGTGTGTTACCTGGGATGTACCAGCAATAATTCATGGTCTTGCAAAAGAGGCTCGAGAAAGGTGGAAGCAGGAGCAATTTGGTCTCCGGTTTTCTTAAAAAATATGTTGGTCAATTTTGTTCTCTTTAGCTCTAGAGCTCGGGCTGGGGATCTTCCCTGGGCTTGGCTTCTGCAGTTGTTAAAGGTATTGCTACCTGCAGCTCCTGGCAAAGGTTGCTCCCCAGTAACAGGGAGAGCAAAAGGAAACATGCGCTCGGTCTTCTATTGCTTTATTTTGTTGCTTCATATAGTAACCTAATTTTTGCAAGCTGCCGGGAGGTTTTTCAAACCAGGTTCAAAGATCAGGGTGTCAGTAAAAGTCTTAAAGAAAACCTTTTCTTCCAAGGGCTTGCCTGGAAG